ATATATACATTTAGTTATACTGCCGATGTGCTGTGGAATTCCCCAGGGTGTGACGAAGGTGGCGCAAGTGTGGTGTGAGAGAGAGTGTGCTCTGTGTCAGCTGGCTCTCCTGCTGGGCTAGCCGGGGGGTGGTGGCCGTGCACCAGGGTCACCAGGCTGGCAGTGCCACACGGGTTAAGGGCGAGGGTGAGGAGGTGCCAGTGCTCATGCTGTGGACACAGACGCAGACTCGGGGGGCGGCTCTTACCTATCGGGAACTGCCTTTTCTGGCCAGGGCAGATTGAAAGAGATTCTATTGCGCATTAAAGACCCCAGACGCACCAGGGAGGAGGAGGAGGAGAGGCGAAATAACATGAGAAAATTAATGAGGAAGAAAAAAATATATTTCCTGCAGAATTACCCAACAAAACAAAAACAAACAAAAATGGAAATTGTCAAGAAATGTATATCAACAGTGAAAATGCCTGGGCAGTAATGACAGTTATTAGATCTCAGACATGCTGGAGAATTCCAAAAAATTAATTAACAAGTATTAAAAGGACTTGAAAGAACCCACAATAGCTCTCAAGGTACCAGAGTGCCAGGTGGGCACGGGGCGAATACCTGCGAGAGAGACGGGGTACCAGGAGTAGCTCAGTGGCCTCTCTCGGGACACGGCTTCTCTGTGTTGATCCATGATCCTACCCCCCCGACTCCAGGAGTCTCACCCCAGCAGGACTGGCCAACAATGTGCCAGTCTCTGCCTTTTCTAGATTTCACAGAATCAGTTCAAACATTTAACTCTTTGTTCCACTCCAGTATGAGAATATTCAGAACATGGGTACTCAGTGCTACAAATCAGGGACTACTGTACAGCAGGGTCTGGAGCGTATAAAGCCATCTGCTGCTTAACACCTGTGAAAAAGCGCTACAATTAAAGCTTGACAATTAAGGCTTCAAGGACTCTAGAGATGAGGTGCCCTCATCACACCTGGGACTGTGGCTCCTCAGGATGAGGGTTAGACACCCCCTGCAGTGACTCTCAGTGGGCCACCTCTGGGAATGTCTGGATCCAGTCAGGCTCAGCTCACCTGTCCACAGGGGCGGAGGTGTTCTCAATGAAGCTGATCACCTTTTCCTTCACATTCACAGACTTGGACTTCAGGGCGAAAGTCATCTTGTTGACCAGGGACTTCACTCCTTTGCCATCGCTGGCCCCATTCACAGACTCACCCTGCCAGGGTAGAGAAAGGCAGCCCATGAGAGTGCGCCTCCTGCAGGCTCCACTTGGAATTACGTGTGGAAGACGGACCAAAGTGCCTGTTCTGATTGCACCATTGTTTTAGCCCCAGCTTAAGAAAATAAAGCGTGGGATCCTTCCATAAACTAGATAGCTGCTTGGCTCAATAAACTACCACCAATCAAGCCGGATTAATCAAATGGCCTCTCTTCTCATTACCTAAAATTATTATATTCTCAGATCAGAGATTGAAAACTAGACTTTTTCCTAAATAATATTAAGTCACAAAAGGGAAAACTGTGCTTTCCGGTGACGTTTCCAAAAGAATGGGAATATAAAATATTTACTTGCCTGCTCATATTCAGATGTTCACTTATTAAATTTCTCTTATTAAACTGTAGAACAATCTAATTGATAAATATTTACATGCTCCGATAGGCAAAAGTAAAACTATACCACATGAGGGAGGGTGACCAAGGTGTTCGGGCTTCTCATGAAAGCACCCTATTCTAAAAGGTATAACAATGGACATCCTTGAATTAATCTGCTTTTATCTGGTTATCTCACTTGAGGCAGTTACAACGACTGAACATTTTATTTAAAAAGTGACCCTCGCAGTTAAGTAAGTCTTCTCAGAGTATCCAAAGAGAAGACAGGATAAAAAGGACACACACAGAGTAAAGGGAATAGAGAAAAGAAAGAGTGAAACAGTACCTCCTTTAACACATCAAGTGCCCAGAACCCATATAGGCAATTTGAGCACTAAAAAGTCAAGGATTGAGGCCTTAAGTAAGGGACTGCTATATTCTATTAGTTGGAAATACTGACTTCCTATCCTCCCAAGGCTAAAATAAATCTCTCACTGTTCAGTGATGCACTATTTTAAATAGGGGAATACGTTTCCAATTGTTTAGCGAACATTTTAGAGTAATTAGGTCTTGAATAGGATTCATTAATTTGATATGAGAGAGGTTCCTCCTCTTCTTTCTTCCAGTGCTTGTGCCTCAATTCCAAATTGTTCTATTTTTTCTACAAATGTGGAATGCAGAACTTTGCTTCTCACGGAAATATAAAAATACGAAGACGAAGGATTAAACGTTGACCCAAATGTGTACTTGTTATTTATTGTAAATCGCTCTCCTCTTTTAAGTTTGCAGCCTGGTTATGAATTTGTTATGCAGCTTTGCCAGAGAAACAAAGAAAACATGCCTTGTGAGGCTCGGTATTCTTGACGAAGGGTAGGTTGGGAGAAGCTAGAATCAGGATATGATTTGTATTAGATATTTATCTCCCATTCTTATTAGGAAATGCCCTGGAGAGCACAAGAGTACTGCAGTCTATCTCCAGATGGTGATGGCCTCCAGCTGCCTGTGCCTGCCAGACAGCCCCAGATAGCTTTCGTCTTTGTGCATCATGAAATCAGCGTGTGTGTGTGTGAGAGACCGGCAAGCTCTATTACAACAAACAACGTCCTCATTCTATAGGGGCTTTAACTTTCACGTGCTCATGCCCTGCCCAGGGGGACTCACGTCAGCTCCGGAGCTGAGGCTGCCTCGAGCCCCAGAGGTGCTGACGATCCAGTGCACGTACACGTTGTCCGGTCCATCCACGTTGATGTCGGCCAGGTGCTGCTGCAGAGCTGAGACACACACAGTTACCCAGTGCACCCTGGGGTGTGGATTCCTGCCTTTATCTGGGCCAAACTACAGACTGTGGGGCTGGGTCACAGATCTAATATAACTGACAGAGGTTATTAATTATGTTTAAGCAATCCATCTACCCAGAGAGAACAAGCTCAGTGACCTTAGCCTGGACACAGAAAGTGGGCAAACCTGACTTCTTCCCCAAAATAATTCATATCCCTGGACAGCTTCCAGGATCATAACAACTATCAATCCTACTGGGGGAGGTGGAGGGAACTCAGAGCTTCCAATATGGGAGAACATATGGAAGAATGTTTATAAAAACAACCATGATGGTATTGTTGTACGTGTTCTACTACCTGGTATTGTTGTGATAACACTGTAATTCACCGGTCACGCCAATAAAGCTCTCTGAATTAAAATTTTTGACTTAGCCTTTAGGTTTTACGGTTAGTATTTTTGTGGAGTGGCTGTATAGAGCAGATAAAAAAACATATTTCTTGATCACGCTGCTAATTTACTTATAAGTCAACAAGGCCAGGAGAGAATGCTTTCTGCATACTTACCCATAAATCCCCCTTTCGCAATGCTAACATACTCCTTGTTTTTCTGTAACAGAAAAAGAAAGTTTTAATCAAATCGTTCTAGGGTAGTACAGAGGAGTTTATCTCTGTGGATGGAGAATGTGATGCATATACAGTGTTTTGTAAAGAATCCCCTGAGAAGCTCTGCATTTTAATCAATGAATTACAGTGCCTAAGAACAGAAGATCCCTCTCCCCCAGACTGGGCGTGCGCCCCCTGACCTGTAGGAAGTGGGCGAGCACCATGTTCATGTACATGTCTTCCTCCTCGCGCCCGCTGCCCATGAAGCACAGGTGCTCCCCGCTGGCGATGGAGCCCGACTCCAGCGATTGCTTCTGAGCCTCCAGCAGGGACTTTACCGACAGGGCGAACTCTGAGGGGTTCTGCAGCATCTGCCATACAGACCGATACCCGAAGTGAGACAGGCGGGACATGGCGCAGAGACACAGAGAGACGGGGTCAGTACGAGGCAGGAACACAGACACGGCGCAGAGACACCGAGACACGGGGTCGGTACGAGGCAGGAACACAGACACGGCGCAGAGACACCGAGAGAAGGGGTCGGTACAAGGCAGGAACACAGACACGGCGCAAAAAGACACAGAGAGACGGGGTCGGTACGAGGCAGGAACACAGACAAGTCGCCGACACACCGAGAGAAGGGGTCGGTACGAGGCAGGAACACAGACACGGCGCAGA